TTTTTTTTTTTTTTTTTTTTTTGAAGTGCAGCCCTCTGATCAGTGCGTACTTTTTTTTCCATTTCCCTAAATACATCATGAAAAAGGATGAGGTTTCCGCCTTAATTGCTTGTGCCTTTTATTCACATTCCTCTCTCAGCCAGAATTGTGAAAAGAGTGTTAGTAAAAGGCTTCACAATAGAGCTTTTCATTAGGCCTCAGCAAAGCACACAAAAGAAGGCTTTTGGAAAGAGTGAATGCAGGAGTTTAATTTGCAGGTGGAGAGTAGATAAAAGGTGCTGACGCCTCTATTATTCTCTTACTTAGGTGACCCTTACCCTGTTCAGCTGATCCCAACTACCATGGCAGCTGCTGCGGCAGCAACACCAGGCTTAGGCCCACTCCAACTGCAGGTAAGTCTGGAAACAATGCAGCAGAGGCAAAGGTTAAGTAATTATGGAAAACAGTTTTCTTTTCCATTAGAACACAACAAAACTAACCATGTTTTCGGCACACTCTTTTCATTTAAAATGTACATTGAAGCTTAAAATAAATGTAAACCATCTTGGGGTTTTTTGTTGTTGTTGTTGTTTTAAACCTGTGGGGAAGATTTGTTTCACACCAATATTCATTTTGATTTTTAGATTTGAACGTTCACTCTTAACAGGCAAAACCATTTGTTTTCCTTTTTTGTTACAACATTCTCACGCAAGTCATAAAGATTGGTTACGTGTAAACCAGCAAAAAGAAACACACTGTTAGACAGAAGAGCCCCATCCTGACAAGCACTTCAAACTGCTTCAAAGTCACTTACTGTGATTATGTCTTTTTAGACTGTAAGCTCTTCAGGGCGTTGACTCTGCCCTCCTACATAGTGTTAAGGTACCCCGCATATTTTAGGTGCTGCTAGGAGACAGGTAATTAATAATTATACTAATTTAACACACTATGCAATTATAAAATTATATTACAAACACACTACAGAATCTTGTTTGAGCCATGCTTAAGAGTTAGTCTGGAACCCAGATTTGTTTAGAGATGTGCCTGATTCAAAACCCTGGATACAAATAATACTAAATTTGAGGGTGTTTGAAATCTGACCATGGTTCAGAATCAGAATTTTCCACATTTTCTTGTCTGTTCCAAATCAAACCCACCAGATCTAAACCCACTGTATATTAGGAAGTTTGATATCCAGATCCACAGTTTGAACTTTATGTTCTGACATATGTGGTTGTTTCACATAAATGGGATCCAAATCCAAACTAACTTTAGTTTTGCAAAAACTTGACTGACATTTTTTTGTAAAACCAAAATCACCACTGAGGCTTTATCTCTCCATTTACTATCTTTGGGCAAACCACATGGGATGCACAGCATTTATATCTGCTTGGAAATGCTCAACCATTATAAACTACAGGTGTGAAACCGCAATCTCGAACTAAATTAGATTAGAACTAGGGCAAACTGGACTTCATACAATTAGTTTGGACAGCACAAGAGAGGATGAGGGACAATTTTGATAGGCTTTCCTACAAAGTTAGTCAGCTGAGTTTCACAGAAATGGCTGCCCTTCTGTAAGCTGACACATTCCATGCACCACCATGAGCCTTTGTATGAAAAGGTACACGGTATGCTAATTTCTGATTCTGTGAGCTACGAATACCAAGGGCTGTTTAGGAGTCATCGGGACCATAAAAATAATGCAAAATATGTATGTCATCCTCCAGGAATGTCTTCTGGGAAATAACTTTAGCTCTGATAAAGTGCCTGTAATACTCACATCTCTCTCTCTCACACACAAACACACACAAAAAGAGGTGGGAGGAAGAGAGGAAAGGAAGGGAAAAATGGAGCTAGGTAAGGAATGAGAATATACATGAATGTAAGAATGGCCATACTGGGTCAGATCAATGGTCCATCTAGCCCAGTGTTCTCTCTTCCGATAATGACTAGTGCCAGATGCTTCGAAGAGAGTGAATAGAACAGGGCACTTTATCGAGTGATCCATTCCCCTGTCTTTCAGTTTCAGCTTCTAGAAGTCAGAGATTTAGGGATACCCAGAACAAGGGCTTGTGTCCCTAGCCATTGATGGACCTGTCCTCCATGTACTAATCTAATTCTTTTTGAACCCAGTTCAAAAGCATCCCCTGGCAATGAGTTCCACAGGTTGACAGTGGGATGTATGACAAAGTATTTTCTTATGTTTGTTTTAAACCTGCTGCCTATTAATTTCATTGGGTGACCCTTGGGTCTTATGTTATGTGAAGGGATAAATAACACTTCCTTATTCAATTTCTCCACACCAGTCATGATTTTATAGACGTCTATCATATCCCCCCTTAGTTGTCTCTTTTCCAAGGTGCAAAATCCCAGTCTTTTTAATCTCTCCTCATATAGAAGCTGTTCCATATCTTTAATCATTTATGTTGCCCTTCTCTGTACTTTTTCCAATTCAAATATACCTTTTTAGAGATGGGGTGACCAGAACGGCGCACAGTATTCAAGATTTGGGTGTACCATAGATTTATATAGTGGCATTATGATATTTTCTGTTTTATCAATTCCTTACCTTATGGTTCCTAACATTGTGTTAGCTTTTTTGACTGACACTGCTCATTGAGCAGATGCTTTCAGAGAACTATCCGTGATGACTCCAAGAGCTCTTTCTTGAATGGTAACAGCTAATTTATATCCCTTCATGTTATATGTGTAGTAGGGATTACGTTTTCCAATGTGCATTACTTTGCATGTGAGGAAGCAGAAGTTTGTATATCTACAGCTCTTTAGTTAGCAGTGATTTAGAATTGCTCTGAAATAAAAAGTCAGTGATAAAGGGGGTTGGAAGAGTCTGACTATTTCATTTCAGGACCGGGATTGGACAGTAACTCAGTAAGCACTAAGTTGAAGTATTCTGATTAGAATAACGATGTTGAAGTTGAAGTATTCTGATTAGAATAACGATGACCATTCCATCATAGAAAATGTGATTTTGTTTGGATACTAATGGTTTAATTAAAATTTTCTGATGATTTTAGGGGATGAAGGATTGTAAAGCACCAAAAGCCTCTTGTCCCTATGCCAGTGAGCATGAAATAAAAGGACAGTACTGAGCAGGCTCCCCTACTGGTTGGCTTGCTCACCTGTGATTTGGGCTGGGAGTGGAGCAGAGTTTGGGAGTCCATCAGTGGGAAGAAGCTGGATCAAGATTGGGCTTTTCAGAAAAGCCTATGGGTACACTAGGCCCTGGTCTACACGGGGGGAGGGGAGGATCCATCTAAGTTACACAGCTTCAGCTATGTGAATAACGTAGCTGAAGTCGATGTACTTAGATCTACCTACCGCGGTGTCTTCACTACGTGGAGTCGATTGCTGATGCTCCCCCGTTGACTCCGCCTGCGCCTCTCACCGAGCAGGAGTACAGGAGTCGACGGGAGAGCGCTTGGGGATCGACACGATAAATTGATCCCCACTGGATCGATCGCTGCCCGCCGATCCGGCCGGTAGTGAAGACATACCCTAGGAAACTATTTTTGAGAAATATCCCCGTATTCTAAACCTGATTCATTTCCATGAGTCAGCTATATAGGGAGCCCTAGTGTAGATGGACCACTGACTTCTGCTACCATTTTAAGCACTGTGTAAATTAGACCTATTTTGAGAAGTATTTTATAATACAGTGTTTAGAATGTACTCCCAAAGTTGCTAATGCCAGTGGAGCTGAGCCAGCATTAGCAAGAATGGGAAATATTTGAAAGCTTATCTTGACCTTATTTGGTGGGAATCCGTGGCACAGTGTAGATAATGGAATTAAAAAGCATTTTGTCCTCCAGGAAACAGTTCAAATCCTATTTAAGTCAGTAATGGTTGTCTCCTCAGTGTCCTGTGTGAAATGAACTACTGGTCTCAGATCACTTTCAAATGGCATACGAGAGTGTACAGTGGGTACAGTCTGTGGGCCCATTGGGCGAAGGGGGTCATCTCACTTCAGAAATTCATCTGCATAATATGTACCCATGGTATCTCTCTGACCCCCTGTCTGCCAACCCCGAGGGGTCAGAATGGCACATTATAACCTCCCTTTCTCCCCCCTCTGTATTTTCCCTGCATTTCTTCTTATGGTGCTCTTCCAGGCTTTATGTGCTAAGACTAGTCAAGTGGTGTTCTAGGGAGATCAAAGAAAGAGATGCAATCTCAAGGCAAGGAACAGGAAGAGAGTTTGTCACTCTCAAGTGCACTCTGGCTTTTTCTTCTCCAGTGCAAGGAGTTTTGTTTTGTTTTTTTAACAGTGGGATAACAAACATGTGATAGCTATTTCACTGTAAAATCCTAATTGGAGACAAAGTACTAGCAGTGTTTAGCACAGGGTAGCTAGTTGAGCTCAGCATTCTACCTCCCACTCCTGATTCACCTGGCCTTGTTTATCTCACAGCAAAACTGAAGAGTCTTGTCTCCACTATATTCTTACAGTGGGATAGCTAAAGTATTAATTACCCCAAGGCAAAACACACTTTTTTGATCAGTGATGACATAGCCCCCTGCTAACTCCAGCCTGAGAGGGTAAATAATTTGAAGCCCTACCTTTCCCTCTTCTCCCCAAGTCCCAATGTGGGACCCAGATACCATAACTGACACAGTTAGGACAAATTGGTTGCCGTTGGTGGCAATTTCAGCAGAGAGGCTTGTGCTGAATAAGCATGGAGACTGGACTACCCTCACATTCATAGAGGTGGTTCCTCCAGGTCAGGTTAGATTGATAGGTTCATGTTGGAGAAGCTGGAATTAACCCTATCTGTGCTTGAACCTGGATTTGAGGGTAAAGGTATTTAGGCACCTAACTCCCAATGATTTCACCCACTATTCTAGACATGCTTTAAAGGAAAATGTGTTCTCTGGTGGACATTTCGTAGGGGAAGTGAAAGATGATGGGTTGACAGTTTCTTTGGCCCAGATCCCCAGAAGTATGTAAGCACCTACTCCCATTAGGAGGTATGGCCCAAATCCTTGAAATTAATTGGAGTTAGGTGCCAAAATAACTTAGAAGATCTGGGCTAAAGAGACTCCAGTCTTCAGGACTGTCAACCTAGCATGTTTCAGTCCCACTAACTTCACTTTATAAAAAGTAGTTGTCAGCTTCACACTGTTACTGATATGATGCATCAAAGGGATTCAGCCCCAAACTGTGTAAAATGTTCCATCAGGAAGCATAGGTTCTGTTAAAGCATGTCTAGGGGAGTGGGTGAGTTTTCCCCTATTGAGGACTTGGGTTAAAAACATATGGTCCCTAAAGTACTTTTGTCAAAGAGTAGTTTAGAGGAGAAGAGGGTTTGCATTCCTAGAAGATGATGGTGAGTGGTGGTTCTATTTCAGATAAGCAGGAATGAGACTTCAGGACATCTGGGGCTTTGGATTA